TGATTACAATATTTTCAGGATAAATTGCAAAAGAAAATTTCTTTCCGTGTATATTTCGAAAGAAAAAAGAGAATTGTAGGTGAGAGCAACCGGCAATGTGTGCAATAGAGGACCCGATAGCGAGCACAAAAGGTCACGACACGCTCCCGAAAGAGATATCGACGCGAATCACAATTGTAATAAAACTCATTTTCGAGAAAGAATTATCTCGCGCCGCGCGTGGAAAAATGTTTCGCGATATACGCACTCGCCGTATCTCCTCCTAAAGGAATCTCGGTTATTTATAGAAGATGCTCGCATTTTTTACATTTCTTATGCAGAACGGCGTCGAGACGTCGCCGACGATAATAGCCGCGCGGTGTGAGTGGGATGCGAATTTCAATTTCGTTTTTTTTTCCTTTTTTCTTTTTGTGTTAAAGTACAATTCGTACCTTACGCTGGGATATAACTCGCGGGCTATTGACAATTACGGAAAAATAAGAAAAATAAATAGATATGAGTCTAAAGCGGTGCGAGAACCGAGAATGCGATCTACGATCTGCAGGGGACATTTCGCTTACTCGCAATTTGGCGAGTGCGTTTATAGAAATTTTAATATTCCTTATTTTCGCACTTGGGACCCGTCTCGTTGTAATTCGTGGCACGCCGCTCGCAATTATTTTGCGCTGCAGTACATTTCAAATTAAATAAACCCCAAACGCATTAAATTACACGTCGAGCGCCTTCTAGAATATTTTTTAAAAATCAAACGATGTAAAAACACGATTAAAATTCGAAACGCATTGTAGTCTATCGCATTCTATCGTAGAAGAAACTGCTTGTTTTAAAAGTGACTACAACTTTAAATTTCGAGATCTGGACCGGTCTAAATACACAGAAAATATGTTTAGTTTAAACGTGAAAATCTTAAAGAGATTATATTGCGTTAAAGGAAGAAAAACTTGCTTGACTGAAGCAATTTTACATAATTTAATCAATAAAAATATATGCTTATTATTTAGGAATAGTTTTCTTGAATGGTAAGGAAACAGTATTGGGTTGAAAATGACATATTTTCAAATCGAACATTATATAGGAAAGTCCCCTATTATGAGATAGGCTTCTAATATGAGATAGCGGAGTTTCTGTCAAATTAACAGGCATCATCTGTTGGTTCCACCATGAATTTATAGTCCTTGGAGTGAAATCTGTTTAGTGGAAAATTGATTGTTAGATGTAGTCGTTGCGAGAAAAGATTTGTGACTGAATTTGGACGTTGAAACCCTACTATCTCACATTAGAACCCTATCTCATAATAGAGGACTTTTCTTTAATGATTAAAATGATTTTATTCTCAAAATAATAATATGTATTCTTGAAGCGACAATTATAGCATTTAAATAAGAGACTGCAATATTGTTGGAATGTAAGATTGTTAAATGGTTTTAAGAAGATTGTAGACTGTTGCGTACATACAAAACAGAGAACGTTAATTTGAGTATATAAGAGTTGATAACTTAGTTTTTTCTGTGTATAAACGCGTCCTTCGATTTACGCAGAGTATTCGTTCACGTGGCTTCTACGCGGTTGAGAATCGCGTAAATGGAGTTTAGCAATGCAAACGAAAATACGAGAAGTCTGCGCAGTTGGAAAATTTATGTTTTCTTGTTAAAAAAATACCGGTTAGTTTTTGTGTTAAATGTTTAACACATTCATGTGTTAATTTAACATATTGCTCTTGTCTTAATTAACCTCAAATGTAAAATTATTAAAATACTGAAGAGAAATGTTAAAACATCACAATGCGTAGTTATTTTGTAATCTCACACAATACATATGTTCTATATAATCTATATTATTAGTAACAAGATTTATCTGTTAAAATTTACAGAATAAAATGTTGATTTTATTCTATATAACATAAGTGAGAGTGATTTCGAACCGTCATTTCACTTATTACATGTGTAAAATGTAAAAATTACATTTAAAAAAATTCATTCTGTCATTAAGAATGTGTTAATTGTACGCAAAATTTATTTCAAATTATTTTGAGACCTGCATTTATTCTGTGTTAAAATATTAACAGAGTATTAGTGTGAGCATCTAACATATCCATATTATGTTAAATTAACAAAAAAATTTGGGTGTTTGTGACATGTGATATCTGTTAAATTTAACACAAATTTTCCAATTGTGTGTATATCACAACGTATGCACTAACAAGTTACGCTTCCCTCGTTTGCGTGGGGGAAACCCAGTAATGCCCACTAATGCCCAGCGGGCATTACTTTATCTTATCATCTTATTTTATCTTATTTTATCTTTATAATGCCCCAGCAAGGCCCAGTGCCCAGAGTAATGCCCAAAAAAATGCCTAGTAATGCCCAGTAATGCCGCAAATCTGTACACCACAATGCCCTCGGCGGTTTCCCCCTCGTTCGTTTGTTTCTACTTTAGTTTCACTTCTGGCGGCAACGAAGAGACCTTTTATCGCGTACAAAAGACAGACTCGCGTGAATCGCGGGACACGTCGGTATCGATTTTAGATTACACTTTTCGGATGAAGATCCCAACGGCGTCTGGGGCAATAATTAGCGTTGCCATGGCGACACAGCGGGAGTTAACAATAGGCCAGCGACAGAAACGAGGAAGTCCGCTGGACGGTAACGTCCGTCAGATTTTACGCCCATACGCTTTCCACGAATGCCACCGACTAATGAGTCATCATCGGGGTATCAGCTAGCACGATACTCGACGCGTGTCGTGCATCCTTCGCGAGTCGGAGAACCAGACGTATTAATTGCGAGCGTAGAGCAGGAGGAAAGTCGGTCGAATAATTTCCGCTCTCTCGTTATTTCGCTCGTTATTGTTACTCGCCACACACGCGCGTGCGAGCTACAGCGAGTAAAACGGCGGGCTTGAAAAACACTTGGTCATTATTTCCTTTGATAATAATAATATCGCAACGCGGATAAATTTGTCAGGCGAGAAAACCGAAAGTCTCGCGGGGCAAGGAAGGGGGAGGGGAAAATTACGACGAAAGCGAGGAGAGAATATTCAATTCCGCTTCGGATTGTATCGCGACGTTTCGGCCGTCGCGACGCAAACCACAACAATTTGACAGAGATAACTTTTTCAAGGTCCTCGCGCCGCGATATCCCCCCCCCCCCCGCCGCGTACGTCACTGTCCATTTCCGTTCATTCATCAGTGATGTTAATAACGTTTCACGAATGTCCCCCGTCCGATATCGTCGGGGAGTCATATTTTGATTCAATCGATACGTTTCCTGCTTTCTCCCTCGCGCGCGGAGAACAGAACGCGGGCGGCCTCGGCGTATTCGCCCGTCGTCAACGATACCATTGACGAGTCTCGGCCCCGGTGACGCGCGACGACGTGTGTGTTATCAATTAAAGCGCGAATCTTGGCGAATACTCGCAGCCGGCCTCGGCACAATCGCGCCCGAGTATCCCGACGGGCGCAATCGCGCCGCGTTTATGTGACGAATCTCGCCGCATTGTACCGCGGCGGCGTAGCCAGGCGATTAATCTCTTCATACGGCGGCGACGTACGTTTTCGGCCCGCCGCGTTGATCCGTTCAATGAAGGCCGATTCGTCCTGACGAACGATGGAGCGCCAATTTTTCGCCCGTGCCCCCCTCCGTCCCCACCCCCCTTGCTCCCGTACACCGCGAAACGATCGCGAACACACCTCCGGGCGTCAATTCTGTGTCTCACGCTACAGCGAAAATGCTAAAAGTGAACAGCTCAGTCTCTACTCCAGCCGTCCCCGTCGAAAGAGACGAAGCCGCTCACTTTTAGCATTTTCGCTGTGTCGCAAAGGCCCTGCGTCCGCGATCCTGGAACTTGGTCCGAGCTCCAGTTTCGAGAAACGCGCGGCCGATCAACTTGCGACTATTCCGTAAAAGAATTGCGGGTCGATTGGCTACGCATTTCTCGGAATCGGAACTTGCATCAGGTTCCAGCATCGTGGACGCGGGCGACTCTAGATACAGAAATGACCGTCGTCGTCGTCTCGGAGCGCCTCGCGGCGAGTCGAGATAGCGCGGTTTTTGTTTCCGCCGGCGAGAGATTCCCTCGGAGCTGAACGCGCGCGACTCACGACACGCCGGAGACGTGCGGAGCCTCTTGAAACACGAGGCGGGAGAGCGGGAAAACGTCGACGTGGTTTGTCACGCGATCGTCACGGCTCTCCTAGAGTCTCTGCCGAAGTCGCGGAGATCGCGCAAGTTTACGGGAAAGCGGAGGGGCCGGCGGTCGCGGCTCTCCCGGGCGGCTCGCGCGTCCCCACGCGAATCCGCGGACGGGCGGCGGTGAATGAACGTAGACGTCATCCTCGCCGGGGCGGACGCACGATCTCGGCGATCGGGGAAGCACACGTTCTCCATTCATCGCCGATGACGAGCGACAAGGTCGGCCATGGTCGCCATGAGCCCCGGGCGCGACGCAACGCCGGCTCCTCGTCGCCGTCGTCGCGTCAACACCGCGAGGTGGTTCTCGCTCTCGCGGTGCGTGCACCCCGCGAACACCTGTCAGCTCGCGCGCGGGGCGGGGGGGGGGGGCCGAGGCGAGCGGACGGAGGACGCTGTCATCCGCCGGCTCTCCGCGGTTACGCCTTCTCCGGTTTCCTCCGCTGGGGCCCGCGCGTCGCCGTCGCCGTCGCCGTCACGTCGGAGTGCCGTGCCGCCGAGTGACACGCACCGTAAAAGTCACACGCGCGTAACTCACGGCCGCGTTGACTCGGCGGCGTTGGGGCGTGAGTTACGCGTGCACGACTCGTCGTCGTCGTCGGCGGCGGCGGCGGCGACGACGACGATGACGACGGCGGCGATAACGACGACGGCGACACGCGTATGTCGACGCGGTGCAGCTCGGCTTATCTGGTGCACCAGAGCACCGTCGTGTAGATACACAAGGAGAGGGAGCGAGAGAGCGAGAGAAAGAGAGAGAGAGAGAGAGAGCGACGAAACTAGCAAGAGTAGTCTCGACCGGAATTCACTTACCGCGACGAGGGCTGCTAATCTATCCTTGGTCATGGTGAAGGGTGACGAGGAATTGCGAGTCAGCGGGCGGTGTACGGAGCGGCGTGTCTAGCGGGTAATCCCATTCACGGTTTTATCCATGTACGACGTGCACGTCCACTAAAAAACTAAAGGAAACGACGGACGCACTGGCACCGCGAGAGAGGCACGATCGTAAAATCGATACACTCGCGAACTCGCCTGCTTCTGCAGTGCCGTCCCGACGCGGCGCGCACGCGCCGATGACGTCAACTTCGTCTCGCAGGTGCGGACGCCGCGCGCCGAGGCGCCCCGCGCAGCGGGGGGGACGCGGGGCGGGACAGGGACACGACTAGAATTTCTCAGGCCCTTACGTCATATTTATACTCGTTACGCCCGGCGACGGCCGCCAATCCCATATTTCTGCATTCTGTAACGTAATTACTGTCGTATGTAAATTCGCCCGTCTTCCCCGTCTAGAGCGAACGTCGTAATGGACTTTCGAGCTCGCTGAGAAAAATTTTTTCACACGTAATTTTATACGTAAAATGTCCAGGCAGATTGTCCTTCTCTCGTATAATGTTGGTTCGTACGTTGTACAAGAGACATAATGAGAAGTATAACTGGTAGACGATTAGAATAATAACGTTTGCATTGCTCTTTTTGCAAAAAGTAAAAAAAATTGTAATTCGATTATACATTAGTGTTCTGTATTTTTAATCGTGCGCGGAGAGAATTTTTTTCTTAAAATTTATCCGGAAAATCGTGTGATCGTGAGACGACACGGCGCCTCGAAGAATTTTATGAGAGCTTTTTGAAATTTTGCCCTACACTTTATATTAGTATACATTTTACTAGTAGACTGTAGGATAAAATTTCCAGAAGCTCTCATAAGATTCTTAACGCGATTGCATGAGTTTCAGGATAAATTTGAAGAAAAACTTCTCTACGTGCGTATTTTATAAAACAAAATACTTTCGCATTTATACCTAAGCGATTTTTTTTCGTTTCTCCAAATTTTAATTTTTTGGTAAAAAAAAAGAAGGATGCCAAAATATTTCCCTAATTCTTTGTTAATTCGTTTTATCTCTTGTATAAGTGAACAAAGATTATATAAAAGAAAGGAGAAATATATTAGCTAGCATTCTACGTCAAGTGAACCGCCCTTGTTGCACAAAAACGAATCTTTTTTTCACTTGTAATGCGACTGATTCATCCTTGACATTTCTACACTCAAACCTATGAATTACCGATTGTTATCTCATAGAGATTGGAAGTGGAGCTCCAATGTCTCTTGCTGTTTCGAATGTGTGTATTCTGTTCTCTTACACGTTTCGATCAACGCTTGAATAATAAAAAATGCTTCTTCACGGGGAAATCGTTTCCTACATACAATCATCAGCAGTTATCAAATTCCCAGAAAGCAATTTCCCCACCAAGAGGCAGTTTTATTATTGGAGTGTGTTGAAACATGTACGAGAATCAAACACAGAGATTCGAAATAACAAGATAGATTGGAGCGCCATTCCCAAACTGACAATGAGATAACGTTCCGCAGCTCGTAGGTTCGAGTATGGAGATGCCGGGAATGAAAATCAGACGCATTAATGTTCGACAGACATATTTTCTATATAATTGTGCATGCGTGAAAAATGTTTCGCCGGGAATTTTGTACCGTGACGGTTCTTTTATAAATGCGCTTGTACGTTAATGTACAATATTTTTTAATTTAAAGATGACTAACATATTTATTCTACACATGTATGATATATTTATATATACACGTATAAAGTATTTTATAATATAAAACGTTATAAAATAAATGCTAAAAGAATATATCAAGAGACGCGGTAGTGTCTTGCGCCAAGTATAAGCGAGAAGCACACGCGCGAGACCGAGCGTGTTTATATTTTGTTATTACAACAATACAAAGGGTTCATTACAACGTTTACTTGAAATATTAGCAGACAAGTTTAAATTATAACGTCCTTTGAACGTGTGCGCTCAAACAATATAATTCTGCATTTCTCATTTTTCACAGCAAAACAAGCAGAATTGGATCCATAGGATTACGCTGTATCTGCGTGTGGAATTGCATACAACTGCAATTGCGTATGATTATTATATAAAGTAACAATTCAGTAATAATAAAATAATAACAGTGAATTAATAATAATAAAGTAATATTTCATAACATAATAATGCGGAATAAAATTTTAACTTACGAATGCGTAGCTGTGAAAATTATGCGCACAATTATTTGTCCTCTGTCACCATCATAACATTTAATATATACGTACATATATTTAGAAATATAATATAAATATTAAAATGAATTAAAATGACAAACTGAATATTTCATTAACGAACAACTATTTGCTGTAGCTGTCAATAATTTAGAGATGAAAGAGTTAATCGTGATTAAATAGCTCGTTCTCAACTTACGCTCTCATGGGGCGCAATTCCATACACGGTTACCATAGAACAAGTAGATCCACTCCGTCATTTGTTTCGTTTTGCGACGATCCCTTCTGCGCACCCGACATTGTTGTGGGCAGACCAATGAGTGAAAAGTTGTATGCGTGGTAGCGTGGCTTTGATGAGTACGTATACGCACAATGCTAAAAAAATATATGGCAATGGGAACAGGGAATAGAATTTCTGACGCGTTGGATCGGTTGGAAGAAAATTTCCGACGAATCCAACGCGTCATAAATTCTATTCCCTATTCCCATTGCCTGTTGCCTGGCATTGTGTGATAGGCTTTACACTATGCGGTTACCGACAACTATCGATATTGTTGACTTTCACGCAGCTTTTTTACACGATAGAAAAACTGCGCGAACGTCGTTGACAATATCGATAGTTGTCGGTAACCATGTACGGAATAGAGTTCGTGTGCGTCAAACAGATGGAAAATCGTAAAAACCTTTTAAATAGGTAAAAGAGCATGGCTAGAAATCTGTCGTCAAAAATTCCCTCGCGAAACGTGTCGTTCGCCCCGACAAAACAATTCCTTTCTCTCCTGGTTCACGCTTAAAACTCTCAGTCGTTCTCGATCGGCGTTGCCGTTTGCAGAAAGTTTGAGAGTTTCGCGAATTCGTCCGAGTCGGCCGTTCCTCGCCCGTGCGAGCTTCTTTGAATGTTTGCCGCCACAAGAGATTACTTGGCGTGCACCGCGTTCTCGCGCAACTGCACCGCATCTGCACCGTTTCGCGCGCGTGTCAAGCACGAATTGCTATATACTACTAGAATGCTACGTTCGAGCTGAAAACTGAGGCAAGAGTTTCGCCATATCACGTCAGGTTAATAAAGTGATATGTCTATATCGTGTGTACATACTAGGAATATCCCATTGAACTTTATACACATGTATATATGTATAAGTTCTATGGAATATCTGGATGAAGCGTACCTGCGCGGGAATGAAGCTTGAGAGGCAAGGGGTATACATGAACAACCAAGATGGCGGTGACGGTGAACTAGACTATATTTCGTGATACAGCCTTAAGCCCGTATCAGACTACGGATTGAAATTGGGATTAGATTGAAATTTGACCAATCATAGTAAAATGTACTAATCTCATGTTTAGTAATTTTTACTTTAATTGGTCAATTTTCAATCTAATCTCAATCTCAATCCATAGTCTGATGGTTCTAAATTGGATCCGTATAAAGGTACATTTTCACGTGTCGCTCGAACCGGCCGTTTCAGCGACAAAAAGGGTCACGTGATTACTTTTCTGCGAATATTCTGCGACAAAGCCGGTTCGAGCGACACGTGAAAATGCACCTTAAAGGGACACTATTCGGATTTCCGAAGGCAAATGTACTAGTGTACATTTTATTGATTCCCCTTAGGGTTACAAGGCGTTTTTGAAGGAACGTGCCCAAACCTCTTTATATATTAATAAATCAATAAATATATTATTCCCACAATTCACAATACAGCACATTATAGGCATGATTTCGCTTTTTTGACACACTGGTTTACAGCAAACAACGAAACATTCGAACTTTGGTGCACGCGTAGTTCATGAATTGGCCGCGGTACGTTACTGCGAACAGCGCGACCCACATTTTAACCTACCCCCACCACCGGAGTGTTGAGTCTCCTGGTCTCTAGTCTTCTTGCTTTTATTGTTAGATCTGTGCTGTGATAGAACTATTCTTCTAGATTATTTAAAAAAATAATCCAACCGGCGCAGGCGCTCACTGAGCAGTTTTCTCTGCCGAACGCGGCCGACATGTAGATGTTCGTGGCGCGAAGGTGGCGGGGCGGTGGGGCGGCCGCATGGCGCGCCGAGTGTAGATGTCGCTGACGGCGCGGTCCGTTTCCTGTTAGCCCGTCGAGCCCGTAACAACCGAGCGTCGAGAACGTGCGTCCCGTCGAACCTACCGCGTCCCGCTGGAAGAGTAGGTGCACGCGAAAAATCGAGTCTGATTTTTTCCCCGCGATCCCGGGGCCCCGCACGCGTCCACTCGCGCCGCATCGATTCGGCGAATCGGCGAGGTGGTATCGCCTCTACACGAGCGCCCAGAGGAACGCCATTGTGAGCCATACCGACTATACGGCACGGTGAGTGTTAACGTTCATTTTCACGTGCGTCACCGCGCACCCGGGAAATTTCGTACACGCGGCCGCTCGACCGGGCCCGCGGTGGCGGTGACGACCGCGGGTCCGACGGCAGTCTCGGCGCGCGCGGAGAAGCCGCGCCGCGGCCGACCGCCGCTCGCCGAGACGGGCCGGTGCCCGCAGCGAAGAGTCTCGTCTCGCGGGCAACGCGGCGGGCGCCATTTCCCGCCGGCGCGACGGCGACCCTCCCTCCCCCCGCGGTGGACACCGGTCCCCGGATGCGTCGAGATCCGACCGGCTTTTCCCTCGGATCCTCCGCGCCGCCGGCCGCGCCAGCCTTGTCGAGCGTCGTCGCCGCACCTAGCCTCTCCTCGACCTCGCCGCGCGACCGGTCCTCTCCGGTCACGCCTCGAACGCGTGATCGCGCGGGTTCCGGCACGGTCGATCGTCGACGTCGTCCCTGCTGGTCGGTTTCCTTCTCTATCTCGCCCGCGCCGCGATCGATCCCTCCCCCCCCCCCCCCGGGCGTTCCTCGTGGAGGCGCTCCACAAGGTCCGCGCGCACGTTGCTTGACCCGTGTGTCCCGCGCTCGCTTAGCCGCGCCATCACTTGGGCTAGGTGTCTAACGTCTCGTCTCTCGCATTGCAGAACCGCGTGTTTCTGATTTCGGAGAGCAGGAAACTAGCGAAAATGGCAACCGAGCCCGATATGCCGACTTTCAAGTGCGTGCTGGTCGGCGACGGTGGCACTGGCAAGACCACCTTCGTCAAGCGGCACTTGACCGGCGAGTTCGAGAAGAAGTACGTCGCCACTCTGGGAGTCGAGGTCCACCCGCTGATCTTTCATACCAATCGCGGGCCGATCCGCTTCAACGTCTGGGACACGGCTGGCCAGGAGAAGTTCGGCGGCCTTCGCGACGGCTACTACATTCAGGGACAGTGCGCCGTTATCATGTTCGACGTTACGTCCAGGGTAACGTACAAAAACGTGCCCAACTGGCATAGAGATCTGGTCCGTGTCTGCGAAAACATACCGATCGTCCTCTGCGGCAACAAAGTCGACATCAAGGATAGAAAAGTCAAGGCCAAGAGCATCGTGTTCCACAGGAAGAAGAACCTACAGGTATATTTTCGTAACGGCTCTATGTACCTTGCAGATCCATCTCTCGGCCGCTTTTCCACAATTTTGCGATGATGATTCAGTTGTCTGCGACGTAAAGTGAAGACATTATACTGTCCCTCTAATCTGATGGCGCTTTTCATCATTCATATTGTATATCGTTTACAGGACGTGTGAAACATATAATCCTATTATGTTGCAGTACTACGATATCAGTGCGAAGAGCAATTATAACTTTGAGAAGCCCTTCCTGTGGTTGGCGCGCAAGTTGATTGGAGATCCGAATTTGGAATTCGTCGCCATGCCCGCGCTGCTGCCGCCTGAGGTCACTATGGACCCGCAATGGCAGCAACAAATCGAGAAAGATCTCAAGGAGGCTCAAGAGACAGCATTACCAGAGGACGACGAAGACCTTTAGTTCATTTAATACTGGGAATGGCCTTTACAGAGAGTAAGGCCTATATACGCGGGTGCTCCTTGGTTGTATCGCGCACTCGTACATCTCCATAGAAATCGAAGATTCTTTCTTTGAGGAAAAATGTCACGCAACACTTAGTTGGATGCTTCAAGGCGAGCACATGACTTCTGTGAACTTGCATATTACATGCATTGCCTTAAAGATGGGTTGCTTGAATGCGTTGTAATGCGAAATGCGCGACATGTATAATTGTGTATGCGATTTACAATTCGAATGCATCTAGATTTTGTAAAATTTTTATGTAACGCTGGTGATATATTATCACGTAAATTTGTGAATTACAAACGAAATAAAGTAACGGCGACAACTGAGGAAACCACTTGTGATAGACGAGTTCATGGAATACTACTACTTGCTGAAACTGATACGACGTAATACGAGACGACCGACTTGCATTTTTGATTCGCTCGTTTGTATAAATGTGCGTGCGTGCGTGCGTGTGTATGTACATATATACATAAGAAATGGAATTGTATAAGGCGTGCTGTATATTGAACACAATCGTGCTAACCCACTTTAAGGCGTATCAAAAAGTAGCGTTGTCCGCTTTTCTTTTCCTTTTACTTTCGTACTTCCCAACGCAAATAGAGTAAAAACTGCCAATTCTGAAATAGGTACAGTTGTAAGCAAAACTGCTATCAAGTTCAGGCAAGTAGAAATTGCGCTAGCACCTATTGCAAGTATCGTAAATTTATCGCGATTGGACGGTTAGCTAGTCGTTCCAGCGGGAGCTGCTCGGTGCGAGGCATTTTGATCTTGTGACGGTAGAACAGATAACATGTTTGCTCTCGATTAAAACAAATTTATACAGCATAACATGGAGTGATTATTTTACAAGAAAGAATCTTGCGATACATCCAAAATTAATATTAGAAGTCACTGTTTGCATACTTAAGTATGAACAGCAGAGCAAAACTGGACTGAAGTATCATTAAAAAAAAAAACTAACTTATGCCATATATACACTTTCTCGGTAAAACTGCTTAAGAAACTTACTAGAGTGTGAATCTGAGGGTACGAATGTTGAAAGAGCGACCATCTTTCGTGAGTAAGCGTCTCCCGTGGTGTAGTCTTCTACTTTAATGGAAAGAATGTTTCGAGGTTGAAGTGTAACAGATTCGTAGCCTGTTGCGTCTGTCCGTTTCGACGAGAACTGTTTGCTATTTTTATAAGCGAAAGATGAATGTATGATTTGTTCAACTTGCATTATATGAACAGTGGGTTTTTTTTTTACGCAAGAAAGTCCGTTCCGTTAGGAGTGTGCGAAACTGTTAATCTCTCCCTTTAGAATCTTTGGTCCCGTCGATTGAAAAATCCGATCGAGATAAGCACGTCACGTGTAAATTACACCGCTAAATATCGAACTTGGGGAAAAAAATCTAGGAACGACACACTGCAACATGTATATTTAATTAATTCTTGTATACCTCTAATAGCGTTTCATTGTTCTGCTCGAAGCAGATTGTATCAGCTGATGTATGAACTTTAATAAATTATCAAACTGTTTTTAAAGCTATAATGCACTCGGGTTTAACTATACGGTCTGTTTTACTAACGTAACGTTTATTTAAAATTTTACTCGTACAATATATATATATGTATACCTTGATGCAGATGCTTGAGAAATGAGGAAGGAATGAAAGCCATGCTTGATAAACGTATCAATAACTGAATTAAGTCATTCTTGTTTTTCGTTAATGAATAAAAACACATTATACGACTTACAATCCGTATAATTTCAATATAATGAAAATGCGTCTTTTAATTACATATTCAAATCGTATATTCATTATTACGTTAATACATGTCGGTGCCGTGTCTTGCGCATCTATCAAACTTTTGTTTCAAAGGAATGGCGGATATCTCGGATAGACACTCGCTTGAAAGTTTCGATCTCAATTGAGACACCGTCTGGACTAATATTTTCATCATTACACAGCACAACTCTGCTTTATTCCGTAACAAACTTCTCTAATTCTGTTGCGCCTTCTTTTCCTTCTTCATTATCGCCTTTTTGCCCTCGAGAAGTTCGTGTCGCTCCGACTCCGTAAGGGATTTTAGGGTGTTGGTGACCACACCGGTTCCTAGAGTTACTACTCCGTCCCGCAATGTAAAACGCTGACCCTTTTCCAGTACCATTGGTTTTATCAACTTAATTATCAGTCTGCAACGGAGAGACGTAGTGAGTGTACAAAAGTGAATAAAATTTTTGAAAAATAAATGTCGAATATCTTACGTGCTGTCCTCTCCCGGCATAGCCAGGTCCTTTCCCACTACTATACACTGTGCCGCACAGTCCCACGTTCTACAGAACATTTGCAATTGTACCATATTCGCGACCGGTTTTTTCCTGCCACCTTCTTCCTTGGTGAGCAAGTACACTTGCGCCTCTATGTGATCGTGCGCCTTCATACTGCCGGGTTTGCACATTATCATGCCTCTCTTCACCTCGTCTCTCTTTAAACCCCTCACCAGAGCACCGAGCTGATCGCCGGCTTGGGCTTCTTCCAATATTTGATGGAACATCTCTATACCTGTGACTGTGGACTTGAAAACTTTATTGTAACCGATAAACTCGCATTCCGTTCCCTTCTTCAGCTTTCCGCGCTCCAGTCTACCGGTGACCACCGTACCTCTACCGGGAATTGAATATACGCTTTCTACTGGGAGTAGGAAGGGTTTGTCCAACTCTCTCACGGGAGTCGGAATATGCTTGTCTACCAACTCCAACAACTGCAGGATAGCCTGCGCACCGATCTCGGGATTCTTCCCTTCGAGCGCGCAGAGTGCACTGCCCTTCGCTACCGGAATATTATCGCCGTCGTATCCCATTTCGGTAAGCAACTCACGTATTTCCATCTCTACCAACTCTACCATTTCTGAATCGGCTGCGTCGACCTTGAACACATTTAGTACAATCTTAATGCCACGTTCATTAGTTAAATGGACAATCGAATTGAGTCTTACTTAATTTATCTATCACCGCGCTGTTGAGGATGGCTCAAAGCCGGGCCGAAACTATTGTCAATTAAGCGTTGCACAAAGTTAATTCACGCAAAAATAACTACATTTTGACTCTCAAACCCCCGTATTGTTCTTCGTTTTCGTTATCTTGTAGTCAATTCTTACATTTAAGCATCACTTTAAATACCTCTTGAACTTGTTGGTCAGTAAAACGATCTCTCTGAACATGTATTTGCGACCAAGTTAATTGTGAGAATTGACTATAGGCAAGCCTCATAGCGAAGTCGGCAGCTTGCACTAGTGCGCACTGAATTAATTATCGCTCTTAGAATGTCTCGCTCATACATTCGTAGATACCTTGTTAATAAACACAACGATATGCTTAATGCCAATCTGTTTAGCAAGGAGCAAGTGCTCCCTGGTCTGTGGCATCGTGCCGTCCGTGGCGGCGACTACCAGTATAGCGCCGTCCATCTGAGCCGTCCCTGTGATCATGTTTTTGATGTAATCAGCATGACCGGGACAATCCGTGTGCCCGTAATGACGGTTTTCCGTCTGATACTCGAGGTGCGCGATATTAATAGTAATGCCACGGGCCTTCTCCTCGGGAGCATTGTCAATCTCGCTGTATCCCTTCGCTTTTGCCAACTGCTTCTCAGATAATACTGTTCACAAGATTGTCCATTAATTCCAAGGGGCCGGTCGCATCTTATCTACAAGCAGTCGATCGTCCTGCAAATACCTTTGGTAATAGCTGCTGTCAGGGTCGTCTTGCCATGATCTACATGACCGATGGTGCCTACGTTGCAATGTGGCTTGTCGCGGTTGAATACCTTCTTCTCCGCGTAGAATCTCTGGCTGGTAACGGTCGGAAGGAACAGCTGACCGTTCAGTTGACAACGTTGCTGAAAGGAAATGTATATAATTAAAGAATGAACTTTTGCGATAGTGGCGGCAACATTTGCGTCAAGTAAAGGGGGTGAACGAGACAGAAATTAATGTGAGAACTCAGTAAAGGCATTCGCGACGCTAGAACTTGGTCCAAGTTCTAGTTCCGAGAAATTCCAAAAGAGCCGCAAGTTGACTAGCTACATATTTCTCAGAACTAGAACTCGGGCCAAGTTCTAGCATCGTGGACACAAGTCTCGAGGTCAAACGTGCGTTAACAACGCGTAGTCTAAGAATCGCGATTTTTTTCTTATTAAAACGTCGATCAAAGCGGCGCGCGTTCGCGATCGAGTTTCCACAGGTGACCATTTAAATTCGTTTCCATGCGACTATCGCGATCCGCGACGTGATCCTCGTCGGCCACGAGTCGGGTGGCGGTTAAACGGCATCGTTGAACGGGAACCGCTTACACATTTCGTCAGTTGCTTCGTGAAGACGATCCGCTTGAGGGTGTGCCTGAACACTGAAACAGAAAGAGAGATTTGCGTGACGTAAACGGAACACCTTGCCGTAACGCGCACCTAACCCCCATCTACCCCGCAATTCGATAATCGGTCGAGGAAGGGGTTTCGGCGGCAGGCCGACGCGCAGAACGCTCGGCGAGGGCTTCGCCCTGGAGTCCTGTCGCTGTCACCAGCGCGGACACGTGCCCGTGTTTGATATCTTGCTCTTACCGGGGCTAAGAATCGCTCTCGTGGAAATAAGCGCCATGTTTCTCGGTGTGGTGTACCCTAGCTACCTCTTCCTCCTCCTCTCGAGAAGAACGGACCTCCGAGCGGGTTCGATACGGCCACGGCTTAACCCCGGTGTCTCGCAAAATAAGTGGTCCTGGCTAACGTCGAAACGTGGTTAAACGCGCACCTCCATGTACGCCATAAATTTCCGGAGTGCGAAACGAGTACGAGACGCGGCTGCGCGAACTAAGAAACGCGGTGCGGTAGAAAACCGACGGGTGGAGGAGCCGTGACACGTGCTGCTCGATGAGGTAACTCGGAATCACGTAGCGTTTATCGTAGTGCATTCGAGGGATCTTCTTTATCGGCAGCGCCTCGATCGCGAATCTTTTCCTCTAGCGTGAACTCGCGAAAGGTGAAAAATTTCATTGACTAATAGCGAATTCGGTTGCTTGCACCAGCACGCACCGAGTGCGCACTAAAGCTTGTGTAAGCAACCAAATTCGCTGCAATTCAATATAATTGGTTCAATAAAGTTGTTCACTTTTCACGAGTTCACGCTGGAGGAAAAGATTCATAATCGAATTCCACAGGTGAAGCAGCTGCCGAACGTAAGTGTGTACAATAATTTTATAATTGCTTTTATTTCTCGAAGTAATCACAGTTAATTGAAAACTACGCCATTGACTCCAATGTATTTGTAGGATACATAATCCTATCGCTAATTACAATTAATGGTAACAGCTGCGTCTGAATCAGGCTCGTCGTTTTTTTTCTGAGTATACATACGTGACCCAGTAAAAGCCTATGTCCAAGACGCTGGAATTTGGTCCGAGTTCTAGTTTGGAGAAATGTGTGGCCAATCAACTTGCAGCTGTTTCATAAAAGCTAATTTATCAACTGTATCTGTCACTTTATAACTGTTTAAACGTACCGATCCGTTGATTAATATTACAATTCTCTTCTTATTTATTTCATATTCATATTTAATATTAAATGATATCATAATTACGGTATCGTTGTCCTAATTGAATTAGTTGCTACATTGAATTGTTTAAAGGTGTCTGGTGTCACAGTTCAGTTTAATTACAGTTCAGTTTAATTACAATTTTATACCCAGAATATAAATAAAGGGGAGAATCAATTGTTGGCTTCAAAATATCTAAACATTGGGATAATACACAATTAACAATAGCATGTCTGTGTGTTCAACTTTAAAAAGACGGCAGAGATTAAGACGAGGAGATTGCGAAAGGACGTAAAAGAATTTAACTTAATGATGGTCGAAAGCACCACTTTTTATGTGTGTCATTAATGCGGTCACCAGTGCGCGGAAATTCGAAGGAGATTTCAACTTCCCAGGGAGCGAATTAATCGGGAGATGTGTTAAGGCAGTCACGCACGTGCTAATATTTGCGTATGCCGGTTCATATACATAAACAAACCAGCGTGTTAGCATAAAAAAATTAAGCGCGTGGGAGTTTCAGCGCGACCATTTTATCGTGAGGCGCAACGTACACAACGCTAATGATCGGCAAGACAATTAGATAAGAATAACTAGGCGGAGAGGGGTAACATTAGCGTCATTATACCGCATCCCGCTGATACTCGCACGGATAAGGGGCATATAAACCGAATGTTACGCCGAGACGAGATAGATGAGACTTGATATCGAATTGTTTTTCTCGCGCTACTTCCCTCGCTACTTCTGATAATTTTGCGCGTACGCGTACAAGTACTCGTTATACATGTGTGCTATCAATTACGTTTGAAGCCGCAATAGTTTTCTGCAGCCCGTTTTATTCAAATAAAAATTGATGGATCCTACACGGAGAGAATTTTTGCCTAGTTCATCCTGAAAATCGTATTATCGTGGGACAACATGGCATTCGAAAAAATTTTATGAGAGTTGCTTGAAAATTTGCCATACATTCTACGAGTAATTGTACTTATTGCACTCAGAAAAAAAAGTTTGTTTGAAATGAAACAAATTTGTTTTAATTTTGATCTTATTAATTTTACAAAAAAATATATATAATACTACAAAAACTAAAATATCACTGCCAGAATCTAAGAAATTGTATGTAAATTTAAAAAGTGTTATAAAAATCAACATGAAAATGCTAGAATTGGAACACTTTTGTTAATTTTTGTAATACTTAACAAGTAGGCCGATGTTTTAATTCTTTAAGATTTTGTTGTTTCTCATATTTTTAAAACTAGTAAAGATTTGTACTAATTTTTACAAGATGGTATAAAATTCTACTTGCAATAATTTCTTGATTTGAGAACATTGTAATTTATCGTACTATTTCGCAGATATTTTTACAAAAAAAACAAATGTTTCAACAAAGATATAAAAATTTCTACAAATTTCAAGTCAATTTTTTGTAGTTATTTATAGAATTTTTTCCGCTAGGGTAAACTCTTATTTAATTTCACAGACATTATTTCTTTACTTTGACCAAAATTTTGTTTCATTGAGATTGAAATTTCCAAGAGAATTTATATCTGTTTTTTCAAATCTACCAAATGTTTTAGTAGAAAGTAAATAAAAATTTGGTAGATTCAAAGAAATATAATTTCAACGTATCTCATTTGTTTAACCCAACTATATTATTTTTCCGAGTTTGTCAATATATATTTTACTAGTAGAATGTATAGTATAATTAAAAAAAATTCTCATATAGTTTTTTTAAATGTCCCACGATTACATAATTTTCAGGATAAATTTTAAATGAAATTCTATCCGCGTACAAATCAGACTCAAAAATTACTTATAAATATCCCAAATTTACTTAAACTATATTAAAATCTCTGGCACATTGGACAGACAAATTACAATTGATTTCAGCGTACCATGATCTTGAAAGTATTGTCATTCCTAATCTTCAGTTGCATTTTGTAAGAATCGCGTTAGATGCATGGGAATGAAAAATAGAAAGAATACAAGGAAAATTTCATCGCGATTGTAAAAATAAGTTTGGATATCAAAGCTAAATGGACGACTTCATTTTAGTTGCTCATCGTTTGTCTTCGTGTAATGAATTACGAAGAATAATTATCGTTAATGGATGTTAACGGCAGATCATTGTGCAATTTTTTAGGAAGTCAATGGACATTCGGTTGTCAATGTTTTTAACAAAATCGGATACGAAGGATAATGATGTTACCGCTGCGACGTCGACGACGCAAAAAGAGAAGGATAATGGAGCAGTTTAATGAGAAAAGTAGAAGGGGGTCATAGGAGCAAGAGCGCTACAGAAACTATTATTACAATAACTGCACCAGCTCTATTATTCGATTATTTTCTTTCATCGCTAATGCGCTCTCATCATACCTATCATTGGTCCGCGTGATTAGTATCCTTGAAAAATACTATTCATGATGCTCCCGATTCGTCTTATCCATAATTCATCTTATTATTCTATCAATAAGATTTTTCTTCATTCGAAATAGGCTTTGCTTTGTAACACTAACGTCGAGGAATTTATAATTTCTAGGGGGTTTTCTAAGAATTAAGTGTCAAGGATGTGGTGCTAATAAAATCAGCATTCTATCAAAATTAGTCTGAATAATAATCTAAAGCAGCTCAAGACACATAAGCTCGTTAAATCTATTTTTCTAGTTTCGATGGTCTAATTTTCTTAATCAAGCTTTGAGAAATTCAAGCTCTTCCGTTTAATTTAAAGACAACATAAAGCCGATCGTTAAATCCACGGCAGTTTTCTTTCTTAGAAAAAAAAATCTCCTACTCGCCTCAGCCATGTTGGAACCAAGAGCGACCGCAGAATATTTTTCCAGGGGGAACATGATTCAAGCGTTACTTCCAAAATTAAAATACTTATAAATTCAAATTTATACAATTTTGGTAGATATGTAAATCACTTTTCTTTACCAAAGGAAGAGTGATTGAAACTTTTTGGCGATTCCAGAGGAGGGGGAGAGGAAAATGCCCCCTTTTCTGTAAACTCCTCTACATGTTAATTTTTTTCCATTTTCCAAGAAGGGGAGACAAGTGCGGCATCTCTTACCCTCGCCACCTGCGCACGCCCTTGTTCGGAACCGAAAGCACACTTTAAAAATTGTCCGAAAACTATCCTTTTCCCTTGACAGTTACTAAACAGCTGTAAAATCATTGTGACACGAAGCCTAGTCATATGACGTATACTTCGTGTACATTTATTTTACGGCTGTTTAATAAATCCAGGCGGCACACGATGGTTTCTTGCTTGCGTGCACCTTTGCTGGCTAGTGAGAGCCAATCGGGATTCCACGTGATAGGTCGGATGAGTTAAGATTGCAGCCTGATTGGCTGAATACAAGATCTTGCCTGAGACTTGTGCATAGTCAATTCTTATATTTAAGGATCGTCTTAAATATTTTTTTAAATATTTCTTAAGGCCTGCGTCTACAATGCTAGAACTTGGTCCAAGTTCTAGTTCCGAGAAATGTGTAGCCAACCAACTTGCAGCTATTCCATAAAAGCTGCAAGTTGATTGGCTATACACATTTCTCGAAATTAGAACTTGGACCAAGTTCTAGCATCGTGGACGCAGGCCTTAAGAAGTATTTCAAAAGACATGTAAGACGATCCTTAAATATAAGAATTGACTATGCACAAGTCTCAGGCCGGTATTCATAGTCAGATCTTGTGTTCAAGACCGTCTTGAATTTATTTAAAGATGCTGCATGGAACATTTCATTGGCTACGGAGTATCTAAAGACCGTCTTTCGAGGATCTGACTATGAATACCGGCGTTGGTGTGCACTCAGTGCGCGCCGGTTCTGCCAGTGAAAAACGCTCTCTTATTGTTAGATCGGTCTTTCCAATCGAGACGCCGAGGTTTCCGCGCAAATTATTATCGCTCGCGCGTCTGTTCGCGCGTACCGGCGTGTTTCGCACGGCCGCCGTTACGTTCGACATTCTGCTTCATTGATTGCAAATACAAGCGGCGAAGTGTGTTCGCGACGCGCGCGGTAATGGGCGCTAAAAGCCCGCGCGCGCGGAGCACCGTTCGCGGAGCGGCGAAAAATATAGCGCGCGGCCGCTCTTCGAACCCACCGGGCGAAGCGCGGCGATGCGCGCCTTGTAAACGCAGCCCAGCGGCCCGGATTCATGAATGTTTCATCGATATAGGTACATATTATATGCGGTGTATGTAACTGTATATCCTCCCCGAGTCTTCCGAACGTAACAGCAGCCCGGCGCGTCGCGCTCGCGCTGCGCTTAATGAAA